TAGTTTGTTACCTTGATTTGTCTTCTTCATCGATTTGTTTTGCGACTACTGTTGCCAACTTTATCTTAAAAAACTGAGCAAAGATACCAAAGCTTATAATTTGGTACGCCTTTTGAACATAAGATTCATCAGAATCAAATACAAAGTTGAAAACATAAGTCAGTAAATTCTGCTTTTTGAATAGTTTAAGCTAAATATGTTTATGTCATTCGTATCGTTTATCAAAACTATTGTATTCAAATTTTCAACTGCAGATACTTATTGCAGAAACATAGCAATGACATTATTCAAAACCTGTTGTTTGAACCTCCAAGTATTTAAGTGAAACATCAGTCCTGCTGATCACCTTTTCTCGATCTTTTAATTAGATCGGAAAATACACTTTTCTGTAAAAAGTTTAAGGTAAACTAAAGGACTAAAAGCAATTACGTAGATTCCAAATGTGTTCAGACTTAGATGTCGTTTATGTAAGTAATATAAGAAAGTAAGGTATTAAATTTCAGAGTGCTTCCCTTCGTAGCCTTCTACTGGTTTAGCTTTTTGAGTACTCTTTCAGCTATGATGCTCATTTAGAGTGATATTCTATGGGGTTAGTTGTTTTCTCCGTGAATGATTGTGCTCGGGGGCTTCATAAATTGCAGAAATATCAATGATTGGCATACAAATATTTTACCTTGCAGCAGACAAATTCTTTATGCTACGGTGAAACAGACGTGTGCTTATTGAAAGTACAGAAGTGCGCGATTCACATTACTCAGAATTCTAAATGTCGACTAGAAACAAAAAACACCTCGAGCAAACCTCACAGAAGTACAAATTTGAAGTGTAATTGGCCACGCAAACGCTGCTAGATTAGTCAATCGCAAATATCTTATAGTTAAACCAGATTGTAGCATATATCGTAAATATGGGAAGAGTTATGAAATTAAAACAGCAGTCCTTATCGTCATACGCAGCAAATTGCGTAGCTCCAAAATAACTTAACTGGATACAATCATTCAAGTACACTTATACATACATATACACATGGACACAGTGCAGGCGGTGTTGTCTCGATATCTCAATAGCATGAGTCTAAATTGAAAACAACGTTCAAACCTATGATTGCGTTGGATTATACGTGTGCATGCAAAACAAATTTCTTGTTAGAGGGGTCTAAATACAGCACAAACAACATTTTCGAAAAGACCAAAAAAGTGAAAAAGTATATTTTAACAAAACGCATTTGACTAACAGGTCGAACAACAAATGTTCTTAAACCCTGCTGACTGCCATTGGAGATTGCCAAATAAATGGATCACCGATGTAATAAATGGATATTAATTTTGAATTTAAAACTAAATAGAAAACAATAAACTTGCGGAAAAGATGATATACCGCAAACAAAAGGTGCAAAGGTTTTTGTACACCATATCCGGATTTCGACAAATAATGTCTCTTCAGTGATGTTAGGAATCGAAACGGTATTTGGAAAGCCCAACAATTTGCCTCAATTTAGGATAGACTCTTGAATTTTGAGGAGTCAAAATAGGATGAACGGATCATATAAACCCTAAGGCAAATATAATACAAGCCCAAACGAAAAAATAAAAACAAGTCTAAATTGAAAACAACGTTCAAACCTATGATTGCGTTGGATAAAAGCCGCAATTTTTATACGTGTGCATGCAAAACAAATTTCTTGTTAAAGTGTTTTAAATACAGCACAAACAACATTTTCGAAAAGACCAAAAAAGTGGAAAAGTTTATTTTAACAAAACGCATTTGACTAACAGGTCGAACAACAAATGTTCTTAACCCTGCTGACTGCCATTGGCGATTGCAAAATAAACGGATCACCGATGTAATAAATGGATCTTAATTTTGAATTTAAAACTAAACAGAAAACAATAAACTTGCGGAAAGGATTATATACCGCAAACAAAAGGTGCAAAGATTTTTGTACACCATATCCGGATTTCGACAAATAATGTCTCTTCAGTGATATTAGGAATCGAAACGGTATTATATATATATATATATATTCTTTGCACCTTTTGTTTGAGGTATACCATCTTTTCCGCAAGTTTATTGTTTTCTGTTTGGTATCAAATTTATAATTAAGATCCATTTATTACACCGGGTGATCCGTTTATTTGGCAATCGCCAATGGCAGTCAGCAGGGTTTAAGAACATTTGTTGTTCGACCTGTTAGTCAAATGCGTTTTGTTGAAATATACTTTTTCACTTTTTTGATCTTTTGAAAAATGTTGTTTGTGCTGTATTTAGACTCCTCTAACAAGAAATTCGTTTTGCATGCACACGTATAAAAATTGCGGTTTTTATCCAACGCAATCATAGGTTTGAACGTTGTTTTCAATTTAGACTTGTTCAATTGCTTCGCTCTCACCCCATATGGAATTTACTGACCCCGTATATATATCTTATTATGTCACTAGCACACTATGTAACTAATAATATTGGCTATATGTATCCTTGGTGTAGAAAGCTGATTAGAATTGATTATTTAGGCTGGTAGCTTGGTCTACTGGATGCGATTGTAGTAATCCCTCACTACGAAGTGGTGCCACTCCACTGCTCTCGGTTCGCTAATGCTTTAATCATGTATTTCCAGAACAGTTTTGTGTTACTGTTTTGATTGTTTTCATCTTTGGGTGTTACTATGTTCTCAAAAATAATTCCAGTATGCACGACGGAGTTATCTCTGTTTCATTTGCTTGATTTGTTTAAATATAGAGCTGTTCTGACGACGTTTTAATTTACGTACATTCATTTGCAGCTAATTCTTTGATATTCTGATGAGTTTAATCTATTTCCTGTTTAATAGTTTTCTACTTTGATTTCCTATATAAGGGGATTCTCCTTGGTTTTTGTTTCCTTGAAATATGCTTGGAATCTATTTCACTGAAGACAATATCGTGGTCTGACACGTCAGGTATTACTTTGGTACGAGTGAAGCGTGACGGGTTGTGTGTGACCACTAGATCCAATGTATAAGACCTCTTAATTTCTTGGTTCCTCTACGAGTTGTACAAGGTTATTGTCATCTAATATGTCACGGAATTTGTAGTGTTTTTTTACGAAGTAGAGTCTGGTTTAAGGGTTCTTGTTAATTAATTTCAGCCTAGAAGGTTAAAATCACCACCAACTACTATGAAGGCATTTTTGTTGCCCGTTTTAGACTGTGACCTTGTTCTTGAAGACTTTCTTCCTTTGCTATTTTTGGGTTGTAATATAATGCAAGGTACATGTCTCTATTTCCAGCTAGACTTTTTTAGCCCACACAATTTCAAAATTGGTCTATAGTTCAGGCATATGTGTACCTAGACGGTTGCTGGTTATGGCTACTAGTATTAGCACTCCTCCTTTTATATTGCGATATCGTTCCTCAGTCCTGTATATGTTATAGTTTGGTTGAAACAGAGACATATAATACTGTATTATATGTCTCTGGTTGAAATATCTGATTATCTGTTGGAAAGGAGTCTACTCATGTTTGGTACTAAGGACAATATCTGGTTTGGTGCTTTCAACCAGGTTTTAACTAGTCCTTGCTTTGATTAAATGGACTGAAAATTTACAGTTTATATCGTGATTGGTATAATTTTCGATTTTTAGCCTTTATATTTGGTCCTCAGGCGTGGATAGGTTTGTCAACATCCCTCTACATAATTTACAGAGGCGTGCCTAGTTTTTATCTATTTAATTTGTTTTGTTCTGGTGGTTTAATTTGTATACTATGCTGTTTATTTTGCTTTGTGCCTTTGTTATTATTTGTGCATCGGTGTCTTCTTTTATTATGCTGCACGCGCTTATGTTCTTGTTTGTATATTGCTTTTGTCAAGTTTTATATGCTGATTATAGTCTGTTGAGAGAGATCTTTAGAGATGATGTTACTATTTTGTAATCTATATATATGTGCAGACTTGAAATAAAATATAGTTACATACTTGAGGATACCGTAATTCAACTTGAAAACTTTTAAAAATATAATTCGAATTATTGATTGATTAATTGGTGTTTAACGCCACTTTCAGGACTATTGTGCTATTTTGTGGCGGTCAGTTTTATTGGTGGTGGAAGCCGGATTGCCCGGAGAGAACCATCAATCTTCGGTAGGAAAACTGCCAATCCTAGTCGATTAAGATTGGAGACGAGCGCACCTGCTACATGCGGGATTGACAGGCTAGTTTTACATAAGTTCGAATACTTAGACCACTTGGTCACCGAGGCCCCCAATTCGAATTTGAAAAAATAAGTTAAATATATAGATATGTTTCAATATGACGTAATTTGAGATCGAATTATTTCCATTTTGGAGGAGTAATTGGTTGATTTTCTTATTGGACTAACCAAAGATTTTTTTTCAGAAAACACCATTTTCACCATAAATTATATGAAGATAAGACTATCCAGTCTTAAAGGTACAGTCTTAGGTCAAAAGTGTTTCACCTATCAGAAATTCACCTATTATTTCATTTAAAAACATTTTTTTTTTTAAACCGTGAGTGTCAAAAACTAATTTGGAGTTTGAATTTTAAGTAATTTTGAATGTTAAACTCGTAAATGTGTACAGGTTATTATGAAATACTCTTTACAATATGTAATTACTGAGAAATCATTATTTGCATACAAATATTGAAATTAAGTGTCATTTTTTCCAATATAGTCATATGTCTTTAAATTCTCAAAAATATGAATAAAAAATATATTTCAAAACAATTCAAGAAACTGCAGACATTTTTGCATTTTATAAAACAATATTCATTCAATCTGGACTCATATATCTTCAGTAGAATTCTTATTTAAAATGAGTTTTTATATGAAATAATAGGGGATTTCTCAAAGGTGAAACACTTCTGACCTAAGACTGTAGTTATTTGATCTTATTTGTCAGACAAGTTTTTTAATAAAGCTAATACTTGTTTAACTTTGGAGGGAGATAACTCCCGACAAAATTTTCATGGTTGCTACACTTATCACGTGACCAAATAATTGAACAAATAGCAACAACTGTCATGGCGGAGGTAAGATCCACGATTGACCGAAAAAAAGATCAAATTTCACCATTTTCTGCTATTATTAATCGTGCCAATCAGGTCTACCATAAAAGCATACACAATTAAACTAAAAATTGGAGCGTATGCTTGTTTTTTTTTACTATTTAGAGTAACATTTTAAAAAGCCTTGCAAACACAGAAACATGCCATAAAATTTATTGAGGATTGATAAATCATTTGCTGTATGAATTTGAAGTGAACGCAATATACAATAAGTTTATGCCAGTTACAACCTGACGGTTAATCTACCAAAATGTCCATGCAGAAATGTATCAACCACAATAAGTACATACATTATGATTCGGCCTAAAGGATTTCCTTGTGAGACAACAATCATAATAATTTATAAATAAAGGGTCATTGAACGAAACAAAAATATGACAGACAGCAACCAAAGAGAAAGGGTTCAAATATTATATAAGTGTATAAAATTCCTACAGAAATTGTATACACCTTATTGTTATTTGTCCGCCATAAAATGTCCATTACTGGCGAAGATGTTCCTAGTCCATTTAATTATGACATCTGGAAAGGCTTTTTGAATTTTTTGCTGTGACATCTTCCTATGACATAATAACACCAGTACCTTTTTTTTTCATCTAAATTCCAAAAAAAAATTTTGTTCACATCTACTGTATGTGACCCAATTTTGCCATGAAATTTTTATTTACAGCTAGAAATTTTTGCATATAATTATAAATTATTACCTTTTGTGTGCATGTTGGTGCAAAATATTTCCAGGAATATCCAAAAGCTAAAAAAATAAGGTCCCCAAAAAATATATGTCTGTTTATGGTTACATGACCGACCCTACGCAGACCCTAAGTCATTTTATTCCCGTCATGACATATAGTGAAAAATTAACTGAACTCTCGTCAAAAGCGAAGTTAGAGTCTCCTATAAAATAAATCAATTGCTGACAACTTCGTTTCATTCAAAACTTCCTGTTTCAAATTTTGGTTTTCGTATTTCTTCAAGATATATAAGTCGACATATTCTTCTGCTCAATGATGACAACATTATCTTCCGAGAATATAGGTTGATTTCTAGAAGGGCATTGATTCGGGTTTCAAGTAATAGGCTGTGCCCAATAATGCTAATTGCGGTATGTCAAAAATTTCTGTGAATAGGAAACCGTGGATTTTTTTATTTACTTTGTGTCAGGAAATTGATATCAAAAGCGCAAGAATTGTGGATCACATTGGTACAAAAACATGACTGGAATAAAGTAATTGACATAAGCACAAACTTGTGCGATTTATGACTGTATATTGAGTTGGCAAACGTACATGTACTGTACTATAGCAAACCCTTAGATTTAGCCCAAGGCTGTCGTTTTTGTTGACAAATAGCAAACACCCTCTGTCCCCAGCCCCTCAATAGAGTCATTAAACAACTTCTTCTTTTTAGTTCAGTTCATGTTTTACATTATAATTATATTTGCACCTTGCATAAGAATCTTAAAAGTATCAACCCTATTATTTTCAACACAGTTTGAGATTTCATTTCACTCTGTACTCATAATATTTGTGTTGCATACCAATGCATATGCTTCATTTAATGGACACTACATGTACAAATCATAGCTTAGAAAGAAAAATACATTTGATCTAGGTATTCTAAAAGAGAACATTTCTCCACGTTTTTGCTATTTACTAAAAATCTGTTTCTAAAGTGGCAATTACATGTAGAACAGTGGTTGCCAATCAGAAATATAATTTAAGAATTTGAAAAATAATGTAGAATTCCTTATATAAACATGATATAAGCTTATTATTCCCTTTGTATATGAACAACACGTCACAAAAACGTTTAGGAGGAAATAAAAAGTAAAGAATAAAATCCTCCCACCCACCCCATTTTTTTCAAAAATCTGGATGAAAATCTGCTAATTGATTTTAGTTGGCCTAACCAAGGGAAATAATCCAATCAAGATATGGGTAAATTCGGCCCATGGTCAACTCGACCATGACAAGACGGACCGCATGTCAGACTCAAAATCATGTTGCTATAAATAAAATAAAATGGAAATACCGACATACCTACCCTATTTTTTAATAATTATGTAACTTTAAACAGACACATATTTTTGTTTGGCCTAAGTTACAATTCCATCCAAGATGACCATGAACTACTTCACTTTTCAATTGATTACCCTGAGATCCTTTACCTTCAGGGAACATAAAATAAATCTACAACCTGAACTGTAAAATTTGACAGACATGAATTTCTGGAACATTCGATATATGTCATCTGGAAATCCTGGGCCACATGGAGTTGGGGTTGTAGATTTATTTAAGTTTCTGACAAGTGGAAAAAATATAATCGTGCACATATCAATGAAAAATTAAGACATAAAACTCAGACATCTGTTACTGTAACTTATTAAGTATTCTCAGGTATTATTCGAACAATATAAAAAAGAATTAAATAAATAGGATACATATGGCCATATATATATATATATATATATATATATTGTAAAACCCAAACATTAAAGCGCTGTGAGCGAACGAGCACCTTTCTTTTAAGTCTCACCACTTCTCCCTATGGTTCTGAAGTACATTTTGTAGTGTGATCCCTGCACCTTCAACAACGAGAAACATAACTTGTGGTCAGCTATAAAAGTCCAAGACATGAAAAATGTGAAACAATTCAAACAAAAAACTAACAGCCTAATTTATAACAATACAATATAGGAAAAACAAATATGCAAGCAGCATACCTGCCAACTTTTCAAAATCTCCATGGGGGATTTTTATAGTTGGCAGGTCTGAATATGACAGACATTAAACCAATGACAATCCACTGAATTATAGCTATAGGCTCCTAACTTGGTACATTTACAGCATGCACATAATGAATGTGGCAGGGTCAAACATGTTTGTTAATGTTCAACCCTTCCCCTATCCTGGGACAGTTGTGTAACAGCACAGCATAAGAACAAACTGTAAAAATCAGTTACAAGAGCTTAACTGAACTTATCTCAGACAACACATAAATATATAAATTTATATTGAAAGACAGAAACTCTTGAGAAAAAATGAAATCTGTCATTTTAAAATTGTAAAATTAATGTTTCTTTTTCAGTGTATTAGTGACCATCTAACTTTGACGAAGACCTGTTTTGGTTGACATGCCACACTCTCCATTGATTTGCTTTCATTTTTTGTATATATTTCACTGTGCTTTCAACTCACAAACGTTGTTTAGTGTATGTACATAAATCATTAGCTTGCTCCATGTGAAAATATAAGAACAGATATAATGAATCGATACCAGATATTTAAACAGTTAGGAGATGGGACTTATGGAAGTGTTTTGTTGGCTAAAAGTATAGAAAACCAAGAAAGTGTTGCCATAAAAAAGTAAGTAGAATATGATATACAGAGGTGAAGCAAACTTTTTTTTAAAAAACTTGATTTTTATCATTTTTTCCAATTTAGTTTTACCCATTTACAAAATGTACTCGAGTCTGCTACATGTACCGGTATGTACATTGTACATGTACATGTTTTATGCCAGTGTTCATTATTATTGTTTTTTTTTTCAATTGATGTCCTGCTTAAGTTCTGCAAAAGTAATATTTAGGATCACCAGCCTTCAATAGTAGAAGGCATTATGTTTTCAGGTATGTTTGACAAACCGGTATTAGGTTATAAAGCTTTGGTTTAAACTTGAAGGCAGTTTACCATAAAGTTGTCAAATCAGCTTTAAAGTTACATGTAGTACGCATGTTCAAGAGAGGACAACATAATGAGTCAAGGAGATAACAGTTGATTACAACACTAAGATGTTAAAATTAAATGCTGAGCCTTGTAGTTTTCAATTTTCCATTTCTAACAACTATAGGGCCACATCTTTATTATTTTTATTCCAAGATAATTCTTTGGGGACCATTAAAAATATTTATTGCTTTGTCCTGAAAGAGTAACACATACATTGTATTAGCACATACATTACAAAAAAGATTGCCATTGGACCAGGGCTTCCAAATTAAAACAGTCATATTTTCCAATCATGACCTGCAAATCTAATTTTTTTCTGGCTGTAACAGATACCAAATGTCGATTTTCCATTTCACATACTTAAGGTTAGGGTGATCTTTTTCGGTCATTTAAGTGACTCAAAAAATAGTTGCTGTAAAACAAGTCCTTAAATTAAATACCCCTTACCAAAAGGATTATAACATGTACTATCAAGGTTACAGTAATTGGTTGTCTGAGAGCAGAGTTTACCTGTTTACCAGACAGGTAAACTAGTACTGGACATCAGTCTATCTTTTCAAGTTGTTTCTACTGTTCAACTGATTTTTCATTAAAATAATTTTAGCAATACATGTATATATTATTCAACTTTCAAAACAATATTAAAATTGATTAAGCTTATTAAAACCAAAAATTGAGATAAAATTTACAGTACTATCATGAAGATATTATAAGTGTGCAATGTATGCACAGGTGTGAAATTTAATTATGCACCCGAAAGCTTTCAAAATGGAAAAAATAAGTTAATTCAGTTATCTGATGTTCTCAAGCATTTTTACGAAGAAATGACATGGAAAGAACTACTCAAACTCGAATATGCTTGACACAAACCATACATGGGTTTCATTTATTTTGTCAGTTTTATCACAGGCAAGTCAACATCCAGTACTAGAAAGCATGGGCTTATAAAACAAAAGTACAGTTTCTTATCAGAGTGTAATTGTATTCATAAAGAATTTAGCTCAAGCGTAAGCCTGTTGTCTGATTGCTGGTATTGAGATATTCCATGCTTCAAATGATGTTCTGTCAGTTAATGTATCTCCTGTCATTTCACAGAATCCATATTAAAAGTTTGAAGGAATCATTTTCATGTGATGTAACCTAATTTATTGTGCTTGATTCCCCAATCTTATAAATGGTAACCTTGATTTGTTGGCAATGAATGCCTTTAGTTATCTTACATTGTAGAAAGTATAAATTAAAGGATTGAGAAAAAAAATCTGGCTGGATCAATTTTTTTTAGAAGCCCTGCATTTAACCTATGGGAAAACAAATTTTCTTTTTCATCTTTTAAAATACTCTTACATTTGTATAGTCTGATCAGTCCCTGGCAGGAAAAATGTATTTGAGTTCCTTTGTAAAAACAATCATTAACATTTTAAGTAGTTGTGTAAATGTGTAATAGCTGTAAAAAAAGTACAGTTATTGTCAAGTAATGAAATAGATGCTTATTGTCCATGTACATGTAAGCTGATTATACCAGTAGTTGTTTTGATTACTTCCAAGTAGGATAATCAAGGAAAGTAAACATATGGTAACTATTTAGAACAGAGGCTTTAAGCATTTTGACTACTAGACATATGGTTCTGTGCATATGTGTTTCTTTATATCTCATATAGTTAAGTCCATTTAGATAATCAATGATGTTCCACACTTACTGACATGTACATTTGTAAGCAACATTCGCTCACATAAACAAAGTCACATTTATATTAGACATTTTTTAGTAAAATATTGTTTAGGGTATATCCATAGCTCATATCTAAATTTTTATGGAAAGTTTCTCATACAAGTCAATTTTGAAAGTTTTCCCTTAAATTAAAGAAGTCTAAAAGGCCTAAAGCAAATATGTTGGGCAATGTATGAATATGTTTTTACTGTTTAATGACAGGAATAATGCCTTGTGACCATAAGAAATGCAAATGTATATATTGTTTGATAGATTTATGATACTTAATATTTTTTATCCTAGGGGCTAAATAAGTAACCACATGAGGTCATAAATATTTTTATAAACGATGGAACATTTTACAGAAAAACTAATGTAATTATAAGATCTTTTTTCTTTTAAAAATTGTGCTATTTCTTCAGAAAAGTATTTACATATGAATTTATGAACAGGTGATTAAAATTCATGTTTATGCCCAAAATATGCCAAAATCCGACTGACATTTCTTTAAAACTTGTTGTCATGAAGGTATTTAACCATTTTTATACGACCGCAAAAAAATTTTGTGGTCGTATATTGGTATGACGTTGGCGTCGTCGTCGTCGTCCGAATACATATTGGTTTTCGCACTCTAACTTTAGTTTAAGTGAATGGATCTTTTTGAAATTTGACCATAAGGTTAAATACCACAAAAGGAAGGTTGGGATTGATTTTGGGGGTTATGGTACCAACAGTTAAGGAATTAGGGGCCAAAAAGGGGCCAAAAATGAGCATTTTCTAGTTTCCAGACAATAACTGTGGAACGGTTTATGGATCTCTCTGAAATTATACTACAAGTTTCCATACCACAAAGGGATGGTTAGGATTTGCTTTGGGGGGTTATGGCTCAAACCGTTTAGGAATTAGGGGCAAAAAAGGGGGAAAAACAAGGTTGTCCTGGTTAATGGACAAATACTTTAGTACAAAACATAATTTAAAGCAGTGTAAGGGAGATAAATCAAATACATCATTGAAATTATCTCCCTTACACTGCTTTTAAATTATGTATAAAGTAATGGTTAATGAACAATAAAGATAATCTAAAACAGTGTAAGGGAGGTAATCCAAATACAACGTTTTGGTTACTTCCCTTACACTGCTTTTAAATTATGTTTAAAGAAATGCATATTTATAAAGGAAGACCAGTAAAAATATCTGCAAATGTTTTCATCTTTTTTTTTTTACAAAAAAATCCATTTGAAAGATTTGACACTATATTTTTATTAATTCTATTAAAAAATAGATTAAGTTAGCACTATGGTAAATTTAAATGGGTAATTATGGTTGCCAACTCCATTGGAAATTTGAATTGAGATTATGACCATATCTTGAGGGAAAGAATTTTTTTGGGGGGAAAAGGGGGGGGGGGATAAAAAGAAATTGTGGGGGGCCAATTTTTTCTCATTTCAGATTTCAGAAATTAAAAAGAATTATTCTTCAAATATTATTTTTTTTTCAAATTTCAAATATTGAAAAATTTCAAGAAGTAATCTTTAATTGCACAGTATGGCGCATTAGATTTGTAAAATCTTTGATCACATTTATTTATTTGTTATGCCGAATCTAACAGTGTATTTAGATTTTTAATTTTGGGTCCAGTTTTCAAATTGGTCTACATTAATGTCCAAAGGGTCCAAAATTAAACTTTGTTTGATTTTAGCAAAAATTGAATATATGAGGTTCTTTGATATGCTGAATCTAAACATGTGTTTAGATTTTTGATTTTTGGCCCAGTTTTCAAGTTGGTCCAAATTGGGGTCCAAAATTAAACTTTGTTTGATTTCAACAAAAATTGAATATATGGGGTTCTTTGATATGCTGAATCTAACCATGTATTTAGATTTTTTATTTGTGGACCCCGTTATCTAATTGGTTCATATTGAGGTCAAAAGGGTCCAAAATTAAACTTTGTTTGATTTCATCTAAAATTGAATTATTGGGGTTCTTTGATATTCCAAATCTAACCGTGTATTTAGGTTTTTAATTTTGGGTCCTGTTTTTTAAATTGGTCTACATTGAGGTCCAAAGGGTCCAAAATTAAACTTAGTTTGATTTTGACAAAAATTGAATTCTTGGGGTTCTTTGATTTGCTGAATCTAAACATGTGTTTAGATTTTTGATTATGGGCCCAGTTTTCAAGTTGGTCCAAGATAGGGTTCAGTATTTAAACTTTGTTTGATTTCAACAAAAATTGAAAATATGGGGTTCTTTGATATGCTGAATCTAAACATGTATTTAGATTTTTGATTATGGGCCCAGTTTTCAAGTTGGTCCAAATTGGGGTCCAAAATTAAACTTTGTTTGATTTCAACAAAAATTGAATATATGAGGTTCTTTGATATGCTGAATCTAACCATGTATTTAGATTTCTTATTTGTAGGCCCCGCTATCAAATTGGTTCATATTGAGGTCAAAAGGGTCCAAAATTAAACTTTGTTAGATTTCATCGAAAATTGAATTATTGGGGTTCTTTGATATGCCAAATCTAACCGTGTTTTTAGATTTTTAATTTGGGTCCCGTTTTTATACGCCCGTTTACGGGACGTATTATGGTATACCGTTGTCCGTCCGTCTGTCCGTCCGTCGTCAACATGTCGGACATTAACTCAAAAACGCTTTAACCAATTTGCATAAAACTTTGGTGAATTGTTTATATTTATTGACGTGAGCTCCCTTTCGTTTTTTATAAATTTTAGATTTTGCGTTTCCAAGTTATGGGGTTTTATTCATTAAAAAAAGGGGGATTTTCCAGTTTTTGGACAATAACTCAAGAATGCTTTCACCAACTTGCAAGAAATTTTGGTTAATTGTTTATATCTATTGACATGTGCTCCCTTTTGATTTTTATAAATTTTAGATTTTACGTTTCCAAGTTACAGGGATATTCATAAAA